GGAGATGGAGGAAAGGAATAGCAAGCTTTTTTATTTTCAACCTTCCTGAAATGACTGTATTGGAGTCTTTGCTGGCTTTGTTTCCAAAGTTGCTTCCTGCATTTAAATTAAATTATGAAAGCCTGGAAAACCCCAAGTCATTAGAAATATGCTAAAGTTTCTCCTTATTCTGTAGGCATTTCTGGTTACATGCAGATCGTTGTTTTGGGCTTTGCATAACTTAAGTAGCTGACTTAAAGTGTGTAAAAATGAATTAAAATTACCGTCACAATGTCACCATTTAAGCAATACAGGTGGAAAGGGTACAAGAATATCTATGTGCACCTCTCCGGCTGCACTTCCTCATCTTCCTCTCCTCAAGAATCATTGTTTTATTATGCAGATATGTGCAGGCTGCATCTTTTGCTGAGTTTCATTGCAAAGCTAATAGCCAAGGCAATTGTGTGGATAAGCAGAGACTTAAATCATTTGGAAACTGTTGAGAGAGGACAGATCTGATAATAATAACCTTCATGGCTGGCAAGTTACAGCTGCTTTTGACAACTTGTAATGACAAAGGCCTACAGTAAAGTTAAGAGCTAAATATCTGTGTTGTGCCATAGGATCAATTTCAATTCCCAAGTATAAAGCTTCAAACTTCAGACTGCTTTTATCATCTTTGAGATTACTTTGTTTTTCTCTAGGTTAAACAGGAGTTGGGTTTTTTTAATAAATGTTAGAGTGCTTATTATCATTCTGATTTTTTTTCTTTAACACAGTGGGACAGCTTAGTTAATTTATTTCAGCGCAAAGAAAGTGTAGCCTTACTGAAGCCACAGGTGCTTCTCACTTATAGCAGAAGTTACAGAAAGATGTTGTATTAACATGTTTTGCATCATCTGAGAACTTTTTTTATTCTATAGTGGTGACTTCCAGACTGCACGTAGGTAACAATTATAATAGCACATGTTAAGAGAGATCTCAAACAGTATATGAAAAAGGTCTCATCAGGATCTGTAGTTTGGACCAATAGCTTTATCAAACTAAAAATTAAGGAAATGAAAAAAAGCCACTGGTGTCATTTGCATGCTGACACTGAAATTGCTGTGATGAATACAGATAATGAATGACTAATTGTTCACAATGTGTCTGAACGCAAGACCACAGGTCCAGATTTAGGAATATAGGTCATACTTGCTCACTGGGTAGATAGCTAAATGTTAGAGAACATGGACATGAATTTCTAGTGCACTGCTGTGAGTAAGGTGGTTAATACCATTTTTGGCTGCGTTTAAACTGGAAGTTTCAACAGGAGAAAGTGATGTTCTGCAGCACAGAGCATCACTGACAGCACCTGGGGACTCCTGTGCCCCAACAGAGTATTTTAAAAGTGGAATGGGTTCAGAAAAGAGCACTGGGAAGTCCAGAAAATCTGCTTCACAGTGAATGATTCAGAAAGCCGTAACTTTTCAGAGATTAAAAGAGAAGTTTGGGCTGGTTGGGTCACCATCGGTAACTACCTACAGGAGGTGGAGGGTCTGCACATACAGGGCCGATTGGCTGGCATGCAAGGACACAAGATTTAGTGGATGAAAGCTGAAGTGAGACCAATTCAGATTAGATGCACATTTTTACATTAGAACAATCAGCAGAAAGGCTTTCCAGAGGATGGCATGGGCTGCCTTCGGCTTAAAACAATGAAACTGGGAGAGCACACCTTTCTCGAGAGACACAGCATGGCCAGGACACAAATACGGACCCGATGCAGGGATAGCTGGATGGAACGGCCCAACCTGGGCTGTGCAGTGGTCACATAAGAGGACTGCAGTGGCCTGAAGCCTAGGAAAGCTGTTCATACTGCCTAGCAGTTTACAGCTCATGATCTAAAAACACTCAACAAATGGGGATAGTGCTGTCTTCCCCGCTGTCTCTAAGAGCAGGGGGAAATGAGCAGAAGTTAAATGACTTCTTGGTCACACATCAAACCGGTGGCTGGGCTGGGACTAGAGCAGAGCCTGCTGCCTGCTTGTACTGCATTTCGTCAGTCGGACACCTCCCTCCTTTTCCCCAGGCAGGAGCACAGCCTGACCTGAGAGACATTTGCAGTGATTGACCCAAAATTTGGTTTTCTCCTTTGAGTATCTCTCAGAGCCCAGCAAAAGAAAAAGTTTCATGACATGCATCCGGGTTCATTAGTGAGGATGTAGCTGGATTAGATGCCTGGTTACCAAGGGGGTATCTTTTCCAAGCTCCCTGCGTCAGTTGGGTCAGCTGCATCAGTTGAGTCAGCAAACACTTCCCACAGTCAGGGCGCAAGCAGCTGCTTTTAAAGCCAGAAGAGCAGTTTACAGGCAAATCCCGGTTGTAATCAAGGCAACCAATTTCAGATGATCAAGGTCTGGCTTTTCCTGGGGACAGAAGGGATGTGTGTGAGAGAGAAATGGGGTCAGGCAACGGGTTAAATTGCACCTAGGTATGATTTGACAATCACTCCCCTGATAACAGCTTATAATGTTTACAATTTGTCTTCTGTTTTGTTTTGTGATTTCAGGAGCAGAAGGCACAGTGTTCCCTAAATCTATAGAAACTCCCAATGTCAGGGCAGACCCCTTCAAGGAACTAAGGTAAACTTTGGAATATGGTTTAATGGTAACTCAGTGGCACCTTGTTGGAGCTGTGCGTACTGCTGGGCATCATTTCTGCTTTTGCATAAGAGCTTGGGGGTTCGCTTTGGAAGGCATCACCAAGGGGATGCCACGGAAGAAAAGGGACCGGCCGTGTTTACATGTAATATGACCGAGCTAAAGGCAATCACTGGTCATGAGGGCATAGTTTCTCCTCTGTAACGTGCTGTGCTTACCCCGGGCTCAGCCTTTGAAAAGAAACAGAGAAATCTTTTCCTGGTGGTGCAGGGAGATACTGGAGTTCATGCTGAATCACAGGGAGTAGCAGCAGGCAAAAGGATAAAGCGCTCCAGCATTATCTGTCTTGCAGAAATGCAAACCCTCCCTGACCTACACAGGGTCTAGCTGTGCACGTACATAACTGCTGACACTCGCAGAGATGCCACTTGCTGACAGCAATGTATCAGGAGGGAATAAACAGCACAGCTCCTGAGCACCAGCTTTGCCCTCAAGCTAATGCTGGGCATTATATGCATTTTATATTTAAAAAAAAAAAAAAAGTGGCACTACAAGCTAGTTTGGATGACCAGTCTCTGTAAAAGAGACTAATCATATGGCCTAATAAATTATTGACTGAATCTCCTGATATCTTCTGAACAACAGAGCTGTCAGGGTTTGCCATCAATGCTCTATAATTATCCTTCCTTAGAAAAAGAGAGGGAAAAGGTGAAAAAAATCCCCAGAAGGACATCTTGTCCTTAGGTCTTGGGTTGCAAACTCTCTTTTCCTGGAAACTGCTGGGGATGAAGCAACCTTCAGACAAGTGGAGTTGTGCAAGAGCACTGCAGATTTACTGCAGATGCACCAAGGTGGGAGAGGACCTCACATTAACTCTCTCTGCTCTGATAGTGGGGATAGTTATGGCCCAGTTAGATCACCGTGGAAGGTGAAGAACATCCTGGCTGCCTTCCCTTGGGTCTATCGGTATCTTTCAGTGTCTCTCTGGAAACACTCTAACTGTTCCCATTTTGCACTCTGGGGATCGTGTGTCAGACAGGAAGTGCCATGGTGGTATGATTCAGTTCGTTGTGAAAGTTTCTTCTCTTTCTCCATGCAGTGACTTTAACCCTGCCTTGTGGTTTTCCCAATCTGGGTATACTTCCTTTAAAATAAGAGGAAACAGGGTCTTTGCTCAGCCTGAAGCGCAGCTGCTGTGGAGGAAGGAGCCCCAGGAGGGGAGGGTGCGGTGGTGCAGCGCACACGTACCCTCCATTTCTCTGGGCAGAGCAAGCAAACAAAGCAGTCAGCAGGTGGGTGGATTTGTAGGTGAGGTTCAGGTGACAAAGGCTTTCTGGCACAGCCCATGCTTGCTGACATTTTCAGGGGGAAAAAAAAAAAAAGCAAGATCGTGGTTAAAATATCCAACAGCATCTAAGTAAAACCAGGTCCCATTTTCAGTAGTGCAAAAGAGATGCAAGATTTAGATCCAAGTTTGTGGTTACTTAGGACTTTTCTAAACACGGGAGGGGAATTTAATTCAAATAAGCGTAGGGTGTCATATTAGAGGGGACAAATGTGAATTAAAATGGCCTTAATGTGATTGACTATGCTTCTGTTCCAAAGAGAATTAAGCTGAATGAAATAGAAATGAGTTAATGGCAGTATCCATGCGAGGGGTTGATTCAGTATGTTTGATCTGCTTTAAATTCAAGTTGTTGTTTCACTTTTTTTTTTTTTCTAGAGAGCTGTTAGATAACTGACTTCCTTTGAATTTAGTGGACTGGGTGAAAAAAAATCCTGTAAAAATCTGGTGGGGTTTTTTTCTTTTTTTTTTTTTTTAAGAGAAAATCATTGAGTAGGATTTACTTTGAAAAAAAGTCCCACGGGGTCCTAAAACATTTTGTGTGCTTCTGAAAATTTCATCTTGGCAAAAATAAATGTTTTTTCCACCACCCTGAGAAGAAAAGGGCCAATGGTAGCACTGTGTAGAGAAAGCAAGGTTTCCCAAGAGTAAATGCTCTATTCCTTCCCAAACCAAGAACCATCCATCTCTCTCTCTCTCTACATGTTGGAGCACTGGCTGCTGCTTAGGTAAAATGGTGCCTTTTGGGTGCAGTATAGAGTTAATAGAGAAAAATAATCTTACTCTGGGGGAACATTTTTTGGTACCTTCCTATTTTGATAGCAGAGCGTGTGCATAAGGTGTCCTTTTGGCCTATTTAAAAAGATGCTGCAGTGGAATGGGACTGAATGAGATGGCAGCCTGTGGGTCCCGAGCTGTCATACGTTGCTAGGAAAGCAGCATTGTAAACATGCACTCAGTAGCTGGCTGGACTCTAAAAGACCTTTTTCTGTAATAGGAAGTGCAAACTTTCTTTCCTCCTTAGGCTGAAGTTCTCGGGGTGGGAAAGTGCACATTCAGCTATTGCAGGTTCCATCACTCTTCCTAGACCAAATGGTGATGATTGGTTATGTGATTTATCCATTTGCTCTTTTCAGTACCACACTGACTCCCACTTTTTGTTAGGAGACTTCAAAATAAGGTGACAGCGACTGTCACTATCGGAAAGCGAGGAGACCAACTGCTCCTGTCACCACTGGGAGTCAGACCATCTGTATGTCTTCTTTACCTTCCTCCTCTCCTTATCAGACTGACTGATTTCCCCTGCAAGATAGGCAGTATGCCATCATGCCAGTCATCTGTTTCTTTCCTTCTTTCCCTCCCACCTCCCAAAGGCCTTCAGTCATGCCCATGTGTCACGAAGACTGACACGCTCCAAGCAACAGCACACACGTTCTCAGCAGACTTTCTGTCCCCGTTTAGCTGACGAATGGTCTTCAGTTCATATAGCCTAATTCATTTATTAGTAACTGGCTGCTCTGCAAGTTGTTGACCATCCTGGAGAACAGACAAGGTGTGGTCCTCTTTTCCAAGTGGCCTTTTGAAAACACTTTTGTCTGCAATGGTTTAGATGGAGAAAATATGTGCGGAGCTTTTTCCTTACATGCTAAGCCCATCACAAGGCCGCAAGAACTGGTTTGGTGCTTGTTTGAACCAGGTCTGGACTTTGCTGCTGAGTCTTCTCAGGAGGTGCTCTCCCGTGCTGCACCAGACTCATGTGTCCTAAAACAGTCCCATTCAGTATCAGTTGTAGTAGGAATGCCAGAGCTCAAAAATGTCTTGTTTGGTGCAGGGTGTTATTAACGGTTCATGTTTCCTATTTGGGATCAAGAATATTCTTTAATAATGACCTAAGAACTAGAGATGGTTGAAAAACTGTTTTATATACTTCTGTGAACATTTCCATGATTTTACTTATTTAAAGTAATTTTACACTCTTGAAAGTTTTGGTAGTTGTTCATTGGGTTCTAAACTGGTCAAAAACAGTAAAAAGGAAAGCAAACAAATTCAAATTATTTTCAAATTCTTGTAATGTTTAACATTGCCATTCAGTATCGTCCCAAATAGTTTAGGGGGAGGGCTTGGGAGATTTGTTTGGATGCTGAAATATTTATACTCATCTGCATTGGCTCTTTTTAATGTAGGTTGGTGTCTTTGAGATATGGTAATGTGATTGCCTATGTATAAAAGTTGAATTCAAGATGACCTTTTCTCACTGGATGGTTTTAGTAGCACCCAGGTAACTTGGTAAGAGCCTGTCTTGAGAGCCTCTCCTTGACACTGGCAGGAATCCCCTGCCTTCCTCTATTTATCTTCTTCCAAAAGGCAGATATATGCTAAGGAGGCTAACAAGATCAGTGCTTTCATTGCCTCTAACACATCCTCCAAGGCGAGGGACAAGGGCTAGACTAGCCAGTGAGTAAGGAAGAAGGAAAATAATTTAGGGGGAATGGATTAAAAAGTGGGTGATCCAATATAAGAAAAAATATCAGGAGGATGTTATTAAACTGCTAAGTGCTGGAAGCTTCGAGGGTGTACGCTGGATGGGTGCTGCGTATTAGCATCCATCCTGGGCTCCTCGTGTGGGAGCAGGTCCCTGGGCTCAGAACTAGCGCAGGTGCCTCCCTGACGGCCAGGTCATGCTGGGCAGAGGCACCTGAAGCGAGGAAACCTGGTTTAGGCCATTTCTGTTCCAGAGTTAAATAAAAATAAATCAGACAGCATGAAATTCACTCCATGAGGGGCAAGCATACACCTGGAATTCACCCACAATTATTGTAGGTTGAAAACGCAGTAAACCACTCATCCAAGGCCAGGAAACCAAGGGATGACTGTTTTTCCTGTAATGCACAAATATAGTTAAGGGAAAATTAATCCCTTGGGCTTGAAGGGGTAATTTTTAACCAAAGTTAATTATGAAGCACTGAAAGTACCAAATACCAGATGAAATGTACTTGCAGCTTGGTTTTATTAGTGCAGTTCCACCTTACCATGTACAGTACTGAACTATCCAAATAGTCCAAGTGAGACCTATTGTAACAAAAAGCAATTTAAATACAGTGCTCAGCTAATGTAACAATACTCGTTTTGCAAAACAATAATTCTTAGCGAATTTAAGTTTCTCTCAGCTGTGATTCACAAGGCAGCAGAGACATTTTCAGTAAGTACGAACACAAATAATGTTTCTGTCTAAAACCCATTATTTAGTAAAGATTAAGAGAACAAAAATTAGAGGAAATGCAAAAAATGAATGGCATAAAGAGGAAGTAATTGTTGGGAAATGGAAGTCATTTATAAAGACCTAGTGTAGGATACTGAAACACTGTTCAGTTTGCAGCAAACACTTGGGGGTTCCTGGGAGGTTTCAGCAAGGGAAAAATCGTGAGTGTAGCCTTGTAGCTAGCTGGTGTTACGTTCCAATTGATTTACCAGAAAAGATGCAGTTTTTTTCTCTGTTATACCAGTGCAATCCCGATAATTTTGGTAGTCCTGCCAGCTTAAAAGACAACAGACTTTTGCCTCGGCATGAGCTTTACTTTCCACATTGTAACTATATAACTGTTTTCGTATGACACAGGTGGGTTGTATTTATATGAGT